AAGGCCTTTAAGATCATTGAGTCCAACCATTAACCCAGCACTGCCAAGCCCACCACTAAGCCAGGTCCCTAAGTGCCACATCTGTATGTCTTTTAAATACCTTCAGGGATGGTGACTCCACCACTTCCCTTGGTAGCCTGTTCCAGTGCTTGACAACCCTTTCAGTGAAGAAATCTTTTCTAATATCCTATTTAAACCTCCTCTGACAAAGAGAAGGCAAATCCATTCAACTTTACTCCTTGTGGGTTTGGGTTATGAAAATTGACATTGGCCAACACATGCCACTTGAGGTACCTGTTGGTGCTCGCTCTGTCTGTGCACAGAGCAAGGTGGTGTCTGTTCAAAAGGGCAGCCTCTGTTGCAAAAGCACAGTGTTTCAAGAGTGTGAAATTTTTGGTGGTTCTCTTAGTCAGTCTCTTATCACCATCTCAGCAAATCCTAGCAGAAAGGAGCTCACATGACTAATCCTCTCTGCAAAGGGAGGGGCAGAACCACACTATGAAACAGAAGAGTGGGGGTTTTTCCCATAGAAATGCAGTTTCTGATTCTGATGTGCTTCAGAGGCTGCTCAGGCAGTGGAAGGTGGCATGTCACAGAGTGAGTGCTGCCAGCTGGTGCCTCGCTGCTGTGCCCGAGTGCGTGTGTGTACTCCGCTCAAGCATATCCTGCTTGGCTCCCCTTAGCATCTCACCAATTTCACGTGTCTAGTTCTAGCTAGGAAGTGGGTGGAAATGGAAACAAACATCAGTGGCATAGTGAATCCAGCCAAAATTAAATACAGTACAGACACAGACTGCAATTGCATGACATTCATCTTTCAGTTTGAGTCTGCTCACCTCTCTTTGCTGTGTGAACACTGAAATCAGGTTTCTTCTGCGAAAGCATCCTTGAGACATGGGGAACGGATATGTGTAAAACAGTTCAGCAATCCCTTCCCCCCAAATAATTTTTGGGTTTGGATTTTAGATAGACCACAAACCCTTAGCTTATTGCAAATAATCCTGATCACTCCCGTAATGATACACTACATTATATACTCTCCTAAATTTAATCATTCAATATCTCACTTCCTTCCCTGTAGGCATGTACTATTATATTTTACACATGGCTTCCAGCTGGTTTTCATTGTGGCCTTCAAATCATATTTCAGTGCAGTGCAATCTAAGACCAGTCACTTTATCATTTAAAGTCAACTTCCATCACAGTCATTTTCTTGCAAGTTTTTTACCAGGACAGGTTAATTTATTGGAAAAAAATGAGTTTGTGTGTGAGGTGAAAGTCTACCTGAATGAACCTTCATGAAGCAGCATCTTCCAAAGCTGCTCTGTTCTGAAATGCTGAGTTGGCAGCTGTACCTGTACAGTTTAAACATCAAATCTCTTGAAGGGATGGAAAGAACAAGTCCTGTGGGCATGGAAGGAAATCTGTATCTTCACATTTGATTTGAAAGTAGATGGGGAAGTCAGCTCCAGATGGTAGTGGATGTGGAGGAGGAGGAGGCTGCCCCACCTGTGGCTGGGGAGTGGTGAGGAAGGGCATGGGGGATGGAGAAGGCAGTGGGAAATGGAGGCACAGGACACCTATGCCATGATGCGCATCCTTCCGAGCACAGCCCCAGCTTTCCTAGGAAAACGAAAGCTGAGCATGGCCATTGTTTTTGTCCCTTCTCTCAGAAGCCCATCATGTACATGGTGGTAGGTCAGACCACTGTTGGGGGTTTACCTGCACTGTTTGTCTCAGAAGATCAGTGATGATTCCTTCCTCAGAGCAGCACTGACCAGAACCCCAAAGTGTTATGGCAGGGCGTGCACAGCAGTGCGTGAGGCCAGCTGAAATGTTACCTGCAGGTTTAAGTGCTTAATAACGACCCAAGATCTGAAAATCTGGAACTGCCAAAAATGGTCCATTTCCTCAGTGAAGCTGTGACATGCAGAACCAGACGTGAAGTAAGCAAATCACCCAAATTGATCAGCATGCTTTTACAAATGTAGTTTAAAGCAAATATTTAACAATAATTTAGATTTCATATTGTACCATGTGCCTTAGCAGTTGATCTGGTTTGCACAGAGAAACATTTTCCTTTGTGTTAAATAGTCCATATTGTCAGAAGGTATTGCAAAACTGACCACAGCCTAAACCTGAAGGTGCATTTATCCACCTCTCTGTGTATGGGTAAACTTGTGTCACTGAAGAATGTAGTGTGGTTGAAATCCTTTGTTAATGCCACTGGCAATCCAGAGCAAAGCCCCCAGAAGCTAGCAAAATGATGAGATTTATCTGTTACAAGAACATCTTTATAGGTTTTTTATTACTTAAGATAACAATAAGTGAAATAAAATGCAACCTTTTTCTAATATTTTACACTGATAACCCCTGGATTATGTGTTTTCTCTTCTGGAGAGGGTGGAGAGGTCACTCCAGAAAAGGAAGGGTTAATTGAAATCATTCTTTCCCTCCCGCTCTCAGCCCTCTCTTTGGTTGATTGCTTTATAGATGCTGTAGGCATCTCTTCATCTCCTTCAAATTAAACATTTTACTGCTGCTGATCCTGTATTGTTGGATTTTTTTCATCATTATATTTGATTGGAAATCTTGTAACATTTTTCAAGCTGGATCATTTCTCATGCTATTTGTCAACTGAAAAGGGAAAAAAACCCCCTTCCAAGTCCAACAAGAACGAACTGTGTAATTCTCACCCTTTCTGGATGTGTTTCTATCTCTGTTACTGCTACTTCAATCCAGCTTCTGATTAGTAATGCTCCTTGCTGCTTTTCGTGTGACGCTGCCTGAAAGTTCCCTGGCAGTTTATTTGTAGTGCTAAATCCTTTTGATTTTGGCTGCTCTGGGTCTTACAGTGTCAGGGGACAGGGCCAGAAGGCACTACAGGGGAGATAAGTAGGTAGGGTCTGTGTGACAAATTTATGAGGCTGGGTCCTTGGCTAGTGTCAGCCATCCTGGCTCCACTGCTTTCCATGCTCCCTGCTGACGTAGGTGCGGATCCCACCCTTGTCTGTAACCCCTCTATTTGGGAACATCAGTCCGTCTCTTTGAAAACAATCCATGGACAAAACAGAAATCCTCAAAGAACAGCTGAGTGATTCCATGCATTGGAACATTATGCTCTTTTATTACAAGACATGTAGTAAAACATAAACCAGAGTATCTGTCATTTCCATTTGAGTTTCTCCTTTCCCCCACTCCTTGGTTAGCTCCATTCCTATGACACCCTGAGCATTTATGTGCTTGGGAGGAAAATGTATGTATTGGCACTGAAACAGGTTGGCAGCGTTTCGCCCACGAGTGGCTCCTGTGGCAAGTCCTGCCTGTCACCAGTGGTACACCTGCTCTTAGCTGCTCATCCAGGCACCAGGTGCTGTGTCCTGCCCCTGTGCTCGGTGGAGCTGCAGCCCCTCAGGGCCAGCTGAGTGCCACCAGGGGCAGCAGGAGAAGGGCAGCGTCCTGGCCAGGCTGTCACAGCATCTCCTCCAGGCTCAGCTCCCCGGCCACATGTACAGTGGGCAGTGGCTGGGGACTGTGAGCTGTTCTTCAGAAGCCATGACTGGAGATTGCTGGATGTGACAAATTACCATGGCACCAACGTTTGATGAAGGAAATGAATAAGGGGCTCTTCGGCATAGAGCCTTTTTATTTATTTGCATAACAGGCTGATATTCCACAGCGGACTTCCCTCTTGCAGTAATAGCTTGACTATGTAGCATTTTGCTGGGGGCTCAGCACGTGTGTAAAATTCAGTGCAAGTTCTCAGCACATTTCCATTGTTTATCCATATTTTTTCCCTTTAGAGAGCATTAATGTAGGGTTGATTTTCTGGATGTTACAGTTTGTAGCAAAGACATTTTCTTCTTGTTTAAAGAGCCAGAATTCCCTCTTATTTGTGGAAGAAAATAGCTACCCATATTGATTTTGTTAGCTCTGAGTGTTGAGTTCTAATAATTATTTCCCCGCATCTGAAGAAACCTCTGGGCAAATCCAGCCCTCAGTCCTGTAGGGGATTTTTTTCCTTAATCTCTCATGTATAGATTTGGTTTTAAAGAAAGCATGTGGAACTCCTCTGTGTTTTGAACAATTCAGAGCAGGTATTTTTTTCCCCTGGAATAAGGGCTGCACAAGGCCCTTTCTTAGTCATTTTAAGTGGCTGTTAGGAAGATTAAGAGCTACATATGCTTTCTTTAAACTTGCCGAAAAGGAGATACTGCTGGTGAAAATCTGTTACAAGACTGCAAAGCGCATTTGCCCAGAGGGTTTCTCAGAATGGAGGGCTATAATTATTTGAACTCAGAACTCCTCAACTGGTGAAATTGCTACAGATATAATACAGTGAAATCTGTTCAGGAGACACATTAAAGCCACCTATGTGAAGCTACTATGCTGTCACTCTTCATAGAAGGGAAATCCTAACAAATCTCTGCACTTTTATTATTTAATTTTTTTTCCATAAAGCAGCTGTGATGGATTTTAATGCCAAATCATTATTCATGATAAAGTAGCACCTGACAATCCCATGTGTGTCTAGGCCTTTGTGGTACTTGGCATTTTGAAGAAATGGTGAGAGTCTCTAGCCTAAAAAGACAAGAGGAATCAAGGAGGAGGAGAAGAGGAGCAAAGCAGGAGAATGACTTGTCTGGGATGGGACACCTGCCCAGTCATCCTGAACCATGAGACTGTAACACCTTTTGACTTACCTTTTATTTTGGCTATTTTATGTTTCTTTTTATTACTTACATTTTGTACTTCTCATTTATCTTGTGGCTTTATATTTATTTGATATCTTTTGCCTTTTATATCACTTTCTCCTTTCAGTCTATAGTTACTAGTGCAGTTGCCTCGAAAGGGAGAAAGGTAGTGGAGAATGGATATTAATTGTGCCTTTCCTCACCAAAACAAAGTAGCTCCTGTGTAAAGGCCTGTACAAGTGCCCTTATCTCGAGCACCAAGGGGGTCAGCATGTACGTGAAGTCTGTGTCTGTTTGATCTTATAGGTGCTGCACAGACAGCAGTCCCAGCCTGCGAAGGAGAATTCCCCACCTAGAGAAGAGGCTCCTCCTCCACCCACTGAGGACAGTTGTGCCAAAAAGCCAAGATCCCGCACCAAGATCTCCTTGGAAGCTCTAGGTATCCTTCAAAGCTTTATTCATGATGTGGGTCTCTACCCTGATCAGGAAGCCATCCACACTCTCTCAGCTCAGCTGGATCTCCCCAAACACACCATCATCAAATTCTTCCAGAACCAACGTTACCACGTAAAGCACCACGGGAAGCTAAAAGAGCATTTGGGGACAGTGGTTGACGTGGCAGAGTACAAGGATGAGGAGCTGCTGACAGAGTCAGAGGAGAACGACAGTGAGGAAGGCTCTGAGGAAATGTACAAAGTAGAGCCTGAGGAGGAGAACCCCGACAAAAGCAAGGCGGCTCCAGCGGACATCGACCAGAGATAATGTGAGATAGGGGCGCAGAAAGCAATACATTGATCCAAGGATTTTCTGGTTTTCTTTTTCTTTTTTTTTTTCTCTTTTTACCTTTTGTTTGTTTGTTTCCGTTGCGCATGATCCATGTGCAAACCGAATGAATTCAGCATTGCCCGATCAGACATTGCCTTGACACAGACACTCGAGTGTTACACTTCCTACATTTGACTGAAGCAATTGTTGTAGTCACATAGGATTATGCCTTCATCAATCTTGCACTTATGAAAGGGACATCTAGCAAGTAAATGGGAAGAGAAAGTCCTATGAAATTAATGAAGGAAAATTTACAACTTTGTGTGTGTATATATATATTTACATAAAATATATATATATTAAAATTGCATGGGACGGAACTTTACAACCTAAAAGTATAGACTGTGAAATGAGTTCTTTAAAGATGAGACTTGTTTATGTATTAAAACCACTTCACAATGAGTTGCTTTGGCTTTTTGATAAACTGCCGCCTGCTCTCAGGGTGTGGTGACTATTTTTGAATTCCTATTTATTTTCTATGTTTATCCCTGATTTTTTTTTTCATTATTATATGGCTTCCTATCTGGCAACTTGATGGGTAATTTTTGAGGTATTTAAAGACGTAAATCAACACTGCCAAAAAAAGAAAAGAGGAAAAAAAGAGAAAAAATGGAAAAACAAATCAGGGCACCTTAAAAAGAAAACTAGTAAGTTAAAAGTACTTTGAACACAATGCACACTTAAAAGGATACAGCATGTTCCACTCTCCAGATAGTCCTTTCTGTAGTGAACAGATGAGTTTTCATGGGATTCAGAACAGCTGAAACTGAAATTCAGTGCATAGAAGACTTGTCTATTAACGAGGTCTTTATAGAAAGAGAAAAGAGATAAATGTTTTGAGATTTGATGTATGGAATTCATACTATCAACCACATTTTACCGTGGATTTTATTTACCTGTTCTCTGTTTCAGATCTTAAAAATTTACAAGCTTCTTTCTTGTCGTTGCTTTTTGTTTATACTGAAGTGAAAAACACACACGCACACACACACGTAAAGTTACATTGCGACACAAAATACCACAATCCCGGGAATCCCGTCCAGGTAAATTGCAAACAGGCCGAGGGTTTGCATTGCTGACACCCCATTCGCCCTCCTGGCCGGCCTCCCCCGTGTTCCTGTTTTAGCTGGGCTTCCTCCGTGTCACGCGCGTTTTGTGCCAGTGAAATGTGTTTTCAGCCGCAGGTCCCACCTCCCCACGGCACGGGCACTTCCCGGCCTCCCGAGGCACGGGCACTTCCCAGCCTCCCGAGGCACGGGCACTTCCCGGCCTCCCGAGGCACGGGCACTTCCCAGCCTCCCGCCACGGGCCACGACCGCGCCAGGCCCTGCACACCCACCCGCCCACCTCCTGGGCGAAGGGTCCCGCAGTGACCTGGCAGCAGCCACGTTACATAAAGCAGAGCTAACACTGACTGACTCTCCAGTGGCGTGAGCACTAAAGCTGCAATCTACTATAGCACCCACCCGCTCTGAGGCATCGTGTCGAGAGAGACGCCAAGTAGCATTTACTTTTCACTTCCGTGCAATGATTTCCGAGACAGAGACCTCACCTTGCAGCCGGATTGGTTTCAGGCGCCTGTTCAAACTGCAGCCGTAACGCTACCAACAAGGCTTCTGGCTTTTTTCTTCCTTTTTTTTCACATGGGCTTTTCACGTAACCTTGACAAAGACCTCATGCAATATGCCTTTGAAAGTTACTTTCTGTTTACTACACCAGGCAATGTAATATAACTGTTAATACTATTTATATATTTGAAAGGTATAAAAGGTAGGAGCTAAAAACGAAAAACAAACCTCTACGTGTAGATATTTACTCAGAACAGACAATATACAGGGAGAAGACGTTGCAATACAAGCTAATTCTAGCTGCTCAGTAACCTCTGGAGTTTTTATGAGATTTTTTCAGAGCTAATGTTTGAAACATGAGTATCTCTGCATAAATTTCATATACCTTTGCAAAATTATGGTGGGTTGCTTACTTAATGCCCCTTTTGCTCTTCATCCTTTAGTTCTGTAGTATGCTGCAGCTTTAATCAGAATTTCAGTGGTTGCTGCTTTATGTTTCTCTCAGAGCTACGCTTTCAAAACTGTCTTCTTATCCTGTAGCTGAAATCACTCCATACATTTGAAAGGAAACTGAATTTTGCCAAGCTAAGTAAGGTTGTTCATCTGATGATGGCATCAACATTTGGTATCTTTTACACTTCAACCAAAAATTTTATTAGGTATTTTTTCAATGCTGAGTCTTGCCTTTTTATTTTTAATTTCACTGCCAATTTTGCAGTGGTTCTAAGTGAATCTGTGGGCATTTTAGCCTGTGGTCTTGCCAGAACTTTGCGAATTACAATGCATATATGTCTATTTATTCAATATCCATCATATAATATCTATTTGGAGAAAGAAACTTTTCTTGTAGTGCCTCTTAACAAAGCACAATTTTCCGCCTTTTTTGTGAAATAAAAAATAAAAAAAACAAATTGTGTTTTATTGCGGTATCAACAATGTGAATAAGGATTAACATATTGTAAATGTTCTTTTTTCCATGTAAATCAACTTTATCTTCGTTATCACTAAGTGATAATTAATTTTTAACTTATGTGCATTGTTAGGCTGTTAGAATTTTTTGGTTGTTGAAATAAAACGCATTCAATAAATATGACTTAATTTGTCAAGTAATTTACTGGGCCTTTTTTCTTTTCTGCTGAGTTCAAGTGGAAGAAGGTCTGCAAAATGGAGGGGACATATTTGCCTGTTGAAATCAGAGTTGTTCAGTGTTATTGGGGTTTGAAAACCTGCATAATGCCCCTGGGGTCGGTACAGCTGACAAATCTGTACCCCCCAGGACTAATCTGTTGTGTTACTGGCTTTCTGTGCACATGTATGTGCATGCATAGGGAGTCTCTGATGGGATCAGGAGGAGGGTGTGGGTGCCATCAGCCCTTAGGAGAATATACTCAAAACACACACACAAAGATCCACTTCCAGTCTGCTGTCTTCTTTTATTCGTAGATTTTTTCTGTTTATAATTAAAAAGCCACAAATGACTGCGTGTCAGGAAACTTTTGGAGCACACATGTCCATGGTTAATGGACATAATAAAAGGCTTTATTATATTTATAGCAGGGCATCCTACTGAGTGTGTAGAGGAATGCCGGAAGGATTGATGTATCTGAGAAATGTGTGAAATGTTTTTGGGGAGAATACAGATAAATGGAAAAAATTGCTCAAAATTCTTAAGCTAACAAAGTGGTAAGTGTCTGGATTCAATCCTAGCAGACGAATCGTATACTGCACGTCAAACTTGAGTTGTCTAGGAATTGAAGTAGAGCAATTTTTAAAAAGTTTTTATTATTTTTTCTGTAGCTCCAATGCAATAGTTCCTCCCTTTTTTGTGGCTTATTTATATCCTATATAAAATATCTATGTGCTCTCTTGAGAAAAAAATAAGGAAGAGGGGGGCATAACCACATCTTTGAGTACCCAACCACCTGCTTGCCACTTGTATTTGATTTGAGACCAAATAAAACCAAGCATCTTGCTGTCTGCCCAGGGCACCTGGAAGCTGTGCACAACAGCCTTTAGTTGAGTGCTGTTTGCTGGGGTGCACGACTGCTCTCCCTATACTCACCTCTGAGAGGGTCCTGAGCTGCCCATGCCCCTTCCATGGGGACAGTCAGCTGGCACGGGCACAGCTGGTGCCTGCCTGTGGTGCTGCCTCTGCTCTGACCTGTGGGCACAGTCCTGATGCACGAGGCAGGCAGGCCAGCCTGGGGCTCCGCTGGTCTTCACGGGTGTGGGAGGTGACAGAGGGCATGACCTGGCCTTCAGAACTGCACCCGCGCCCCGGGCAGATGCTATGGAGGTGCTGATGGTGTTGCACTGGGTGTCCTTTCTGCCTGCCAGTAGGACAAGAAACTAAAGGAGAGGCAGCTCTCAGCTTCGCTTGTAGAGAATTTTATGCATGCACTCTGTGTGTATGTAGCTAAATAATATTTAAAGACGCACTCACACGTATTTTAATTGGGGGGAAAAAAATCCTATAAACATATGGGTTCTTCTTTCAAACCGTAAAAAACCCCCAACATTTAATAGCTGCTATAGCAGAAATATTTCTATTAATGCTTCTACTTCTCTATACTTTACATGCTGCTGCTCCTATTTGTTGTTCATGTTTTAGTCATCCAGACATATGTATTTCCAGTTTCAAACCTGTGTGAGTGAAAAATAAACATGTTAAGAGTAGTTTAAAATGTTTTAAGATTATGAACATACTCATTATTGCCTTAAGTTCATTGTTGCTTAGATAAAAGTATCCACTCAATCTCTTCCCATTTACTTAGTAACCAATTATTTATTTTAGACTGAAGGGATTAGAATCCTCATCGATGAAATTTTGTTTCTATCCTGAACCTGTTAAACATGGAGGGATAAAGGCTGGATACATTTGTCGGTGAGCAAATGGCATCTTAAAATCATAAACGAGTAATTACAAAAAATCTCTACTTACAATATAAAGTGCAGTGATTAATTAAAGATGCGGTTTTAACTTATTTATAGCCATTAAAAAAACATTCTGGTTTTAACACAAAATAACACAAGCCAAGTCATCCAGGGGAGAGACACTGGCAGCCTGAGACTTGAGGAGCAGGCAATGTGACAAAGCCAACAGGGAACAGCAAATGCAGGCCTCCCTTGAAACCTTTGAAAAGTTCACAGAAGCAAGGATGGAAAGAGGTGGCTCTGGCATCCCTGCCAAGACCCCTTTCATTTTTGCTGGCATACAGACAGCTCAGGAGTGTGAAAGCCCCATCTCTCTGTGATGGCAGGAAACCTGTGGGCTCACTCCTTGGCTGTGGTGCAGGCAGTGGGGAGCTTTGCCAGCTGGGGAGTGCGCTGAGGGTGAGTCAGCCCTACCTCAGGCAAAAAGAGGATACGGGTGAGAGAGACAGCAGCAGTTGAAATGCAGATTTCTGCAGGTTCCCCTCCTTCCAAAATTTTTGGTTGTTGATGGCCAAATGCTGGTCTTGCTTGACTGGCAGGTGTGGTTCGGAGCCAGGAGGAATAAAGGTGGTGGGAGGCAAAGTGAGGGTCACCTGCTGAGCTGGTGACTTGTGGCTGCTGTTCCCTGGCAGGTTTGGCTGTGTGGAAGGCTGCCCTGCTGCTGAGCAGCTCGACCCTGCCAGGGGTCCCAGGCAGACCTGTCACACCGTGCTCCAGCCCTGCAACTGCTGGCTCTGTCTGCAAGGCAGCACTTGCTCAAGGCAACCAGCCCCTCTGTCCTGTGGTAGTGTTTCAGAAGCTACAGCTGGTTCCTCCTAAGAGGAGTGGTGTAGTTTACCCTTTGGAAGGGATCTGGTCTTGATTTGAAGACCTCAGGAGCTGGAAAATCACTGTTGTCCTCAGTAGTTTGTTTGAATGGTGGTTTCTCTCCCTACTAAATCTGTACCATATTCTAAGGGGAATTTGGCTTTCCTTTCCTGGTTTTGTCTTTTGTTAGGCTTTTCTCATCTGGGTGGAAGTTCCAGGTAATGAAGGATATTTTTTTTTACTTAGAAGTAGCTGTTACAATTAAATGAATTTTCTTGAATTGAGGTCTTAGTGTTCAGCTGAGGCTGTTTCAAAGAAAAATCTATTTTGGCTAGTGACAGAGTTCCCCCTTGTACTCCTTTTGAGAGCCCACCAAGATAGTGACAGAAAGAGGCTCTTTGCTGCTTGTGAACCCGGAATGTTCACAGATGGTATCTGTCACTGTTATAATAGAAGGAGGTTTCATAGTTCTGGGGCAATGTGCTTCATGCCTTCTGGTACTGCCAGTGCCTGGTGTGCATCCTCCTAGGAATTTACCTGGCTGAGACCTTTGCTGGTCTCAGCTCATTTGCTGACAAGAGCCGTGGTGAAGTGAGCAGTAGCCAGTGAGAGTAAACCTGATCTGAACTACCATGAGGAATGAGTGCACCTGTGGAAGACCATGGCAGGTGGCTTGGAGGGCCCATGCTGTAAGCATGTGGAGGTTTCCAGACCTGCTTCTGTTGCAGCACCAGACTAGATGTGCCACCAACCAGTGTGTCCTCACAGAGTGACTCTGGGCACAACTTTCAACTTGGGGCTTTCTAAGGGACTGACTTCCTTCATGGTAGAAAGTGCCAGCCAAACATGAAGTGCACACGCATGGACCACAACCCTTCTGAGACAGAAAGATAATGTCCCCTGTGTGGACCCCTCCAGAGACAGACACTAGTCCCAACCTTATTGAGGTGCTGTCAGCAGGCTGTGCCTGCCTGTTTCTTAACCCATGTGCTGCATGTCTATGTATCTCATGTTTAAATGGATGTGCTTCATGACACGATAGCACTCTGAAGTACAAAGTTAAATGCTGGCACTACCCCAAAGGACAACCACTCACAGAAAAGCTATTTTCTGTTGCAGTTCTCATCTGTTTCATATCACAGTTCTCTGTGCACTGTAGAGCTATTAAGGTAGCATGAAACAGTGTTGGAGGTAATGCTGCACCCTCCTCAAACACCCAAAAGTCAGCTGAGCCATTCTGTCCACAGTTGTGGAGAGACTGCAGCTCCTCTGACCTACTTTGATACTGTGCTTTTCTTTAGAAGGATGAAAAAGGGAGAAAGAGGCTGCTGGAAGGACACTATTGAACCTTGCATGAGCTGGAATGATGCTGAGAGCAACAGAACTCCTCTGTCATGGCCTTGGGACATCTGCTCCTCGGTTGAAATAATTGAATAACCTGAGTATGAGCAGCGGTGCCTGAGTAGCAACAACCACCATGTTGTCCCCTGACACCTTACTTACAAATACACTTGAGAGATGACCTCTCTATGTCCTGAGTTAGACTGGGTCAGTAGAAGCACATGCCTTTGGCTTTCAGAGGAGAGAAAGCACTCTTTCAGGCCTTAAAAAGCTGCTCCCCCTGCCTGCACAGCAGTCCATCTTTACCATATGATGAAAGTATACGCTGAGACTCATCACAGTCTCAGCTATTTATCATTAGAGAAGACCAGAGGAGTGTTTGGAATGTGTTAGCCCTCAGGAGGACAAAATGCAGCAGATTGGTCTCGTGGACATGAAGGGCACTCTTGCAAGGAAAGTGGAGCAGGACGTGACCAGCAAATGCAGTCCTTCATGACAGGGCCCAGCCATCGGTTTCTCAAAGCAACCAAGTGCCCTCTGTTTGTATTTAAAGGCTATTTGTCTCTTCTATTTGTATTTAAAGGCTGTTGCAGAATATCATTCCCTTAATGGGTCTATTTTCACAAGCCATTTAGCATCATTTGTTCTGTGTCAACATTGTCCTTTCATTTAATTTCCCCCACCCAGCGTCCCTTCCTGACCTCTGGCCACCCACCACCCAATTTATTCATAGACAGCCACTGCACCCCCTGCGAGCTGGGTGTCCCTGTGCCGAGCCAGCTCAGCCCTGTCCCAGCATGGACATCTGTGGCTGCCTGGTTCACAGTGCCAGGCACGCCTGGTGCTCCCAGCGCTGCCCCCTGGGCAGCAGCAGCTGCTCGGGGAGCTCATGCTGAGGTGTTATGGTGGTGCCTGTGGTGGCCTTTTTAACTCCCCCCACCGGTGGCCACTTCAGTGCCGGGGGAGGGCTGGGTGCTGGGCTGCCCAGCGTCTGCCATGCAGGGTAACAGGGTGGGCCTGGGTCCATC